AAAAAAAAAAAAAAAAAAAAAAAAAAAGAAAGTTAAAGTCTTTTAAAGTCCTTGTATTGTTTGATTGTTTGCAGGGGAGGGGGTGGTTAGATGCTGATAAACTTTAGACTTTTTTCATTTAAGTAAATGTTAACCTTTCAAGGTAACTTCTACAGAAATGGGAGATATAACTTTCAAACCCAAATGTGAAAAAAAAGATGATGTTTAAAGAAAGGACAAAATTAGCTGGACACAGTGGCATGCACCTATAGTCCTAGCTGTGCAGAAGGCTGAGCCCGGGGGATTGCTTGAGCTCAGGAGGTTGAGACTGCAGTGAGTATGGTTGTACCCCTGCACTCCAGCCTGGGAGACAGAGTGAGACCCTGTCTCAGAAAAAAAGAAGAGGGAGAGAAAAAAACAGGGAGGAAGAGAGAGAAAAAGAGAAGAGAAGGAGGAGAAAGAAAGGAAAGAGAGAGAAAGAAAGAAAGAAAGAAAAAGAAAGAAAGAAAGAAAGAAAGAAAGAAAGAAAATAAATAAATTTTAGACCTTAACCAGTCTAAAATGAGACAAACAGGAGATAAAAAGAGGTATGGAAAAGGACAAAAAGAAAGCATCGAGTGTTCTACCTATATGACACCAGTCATCCTAGACTAGCACAGAAGCCTGCCTCTCTTGTTTTCTCTGGCTCCTCCCAGATATTCCAACTACTGGGTATGTGTGATGTGGTAGGATAGGAGAGATCTGATCTGTAACCTGAGAAAAAAATGAACTGTGAAAGGCTTATAACAGAGAATCAGTACAGAAGGAGATGACATTAGAATTGCCCCTCCTATCAGGGATCTTCCAGCCATAGGGATCTCCATATTATGACCTGGGGAATTCCCAGGGATACTATCATGAGCCCATATTCCAAGGGTCTAATATAATGTCAGGAATCTGAAAAAGGATGGTCCTGGGGGCTGGTCCATAAGTGTAAGCTTCATTTGCCAATTCTATCACAGAGATTAAGGGTGGTAGACACAGAAAACAAGTAGCCTTCAGAGTCTCCTCGTGGCTCCAACTAATCAGCTCAACACCACATCTGAGGGCCCCTGGTGTCCAACATACCCTAATAGTGAACATGGTGACTCTCTCAGGTGCCTCAATGTTGTACCACACACACAGGCTGTTGCGGTTCTGAGCTACCAGCACATCACTTCCAGGGACCCACTGCACGTAGGAGCAGAAGTTGAGGATCATTATCTTAGAGCAGCTCTCAATATCATACAGATGCAACTGAAGAAAGAAGAGGCAGATAGCACAATTAGAAGAGAATGTGGGGTTGTCTCTTGCTTTTGACCATTTCCCTAATGGTGAGATGTGGTGAGCTAACCCACCACTCAGGTTCATGCAGCATTTCAAAGCTTACTGACCTGCTGTCTGCTGAAGTGTTATATCCTAACTCTGGTCAAGTAAGAGATGACCCATAGAACAAAGATCTACATCCCAGGAATTTTAAGTTAGGTGAAGGTCAGACTTTCCTTCTTGGAAGAACTCTGGGCCAGAGTTACCAGCTTAGATTACAAATGGCAGGCCACTAGAAATATTAAATGATCCGGAAGTTTGTGATGTGGCTTTCACTGACATGAAAAATCACCAGGTTGTCTCTTTGACCTGAGGTTGAACACTGGTGCTACTATACTGGGATGAGAATCAGTGAGGGATGAAGAGGCTGTCCTCCAGCCAGTTCACGCCATTAGGTCAGTGTGGCTAAAAACCACTGGACAGCAGGTCTAGGTGAAGGTCAGCTAGGCATGAGGAGGAGGAATGCAGGGTTAAGGAAGTTTCATGAGGGCACAGACTGAATAGTTAGAGAGACCAACTCCCAAACTTCCCTAGACTTTGTTGCCATAATACAATTGCCTCTGAGGTAATATAGGATTGCCAGGTGCGGTGGCTTATGCCTGTAATCTCAGCACTTTGGAAGGCTGAGGCAGGCAGATCACCTGTGGTCAGGAGTTCAAGCCCGGCCTGGCCAACATGGTGAAATCCTGTCTCTACTAAAAATACAAAAATTAGTTAGGTGTGGTGGCACGCGCCTAGAGTCCCAGCTAGTGGGGAGGCTGAAGCAGGAGAATCGCTTGAACCTGGGAGGCAGAGGTTGCAGTGAGCTGCGATCTTACCACTGCACTCTATCCTGGGTGACAGAGTAAGACTCTGTCTCTAAAAAAAAAAAAAGAGGTAATAATGGATGGGTTTTGGTATCAGGTACAGAGAATGTTGATTCTTCTGTGCCTTCTGCTATGCTGATGACACAGCAAAGAAATTATGCCCCATTCTGCCTGCCTCAGTCCCTGGTGGCAGCTTGTCTCACACCCTCTATGGGCCAGCCAATGCCTAAGGCCTTAGTAACTCTTCTCACACGAAGTTTCCGGTCCCTGAAGAGGAGCTTATGTCCAGTCTCATTAAGTTCCAGCCAATCCACACGGCTCTCATGGCTGACGGTGCCAATGTTGTAGCCACCAATCAGATCTACTATAGAATAAAAGAGACAGGTTAACATGAGAGATTGCACAGATGTACATAGTGTGGCCAACACACGTAATTTTGCTAGGATTCCTGGGGAGCTGGGTCTCTTTTAGAATTGTACAGGTTTTATTTAACTATGTTGTAACTCAAAAGGTCCAGACCTACTAAGAAATGTCATTACTCTCTGGGACTTAGAGTTACCTCAGAGCAGATTAGAACTATTGATGAAGTGGCTGCTACTACTCACAGAATCCCCTCTAAGGCAGCACAGAGCACATTAAAGATAAGCCTGATACAACACAGCAGTGAGACAAGGCTGCTGAATCAATTACCTTGATGATCATATGCCCCAAGAAGCTTACCTGCATATCTGAATGCCTATAGTGTAAGAGCACTACAGGGTGGATAGTGGGGAAGGCATGCAGACAAACTTCTGACTAAAGTTAGGCGAGTAACTGCAAAGGATGAATATTTTAGTTTGGTTTGAATCTTGTAGAAAATATAAGAAACTATCACATTTAGAGTAGACCAATTAGGGTTGGCTGGGATGCTTTCAGGAAGTCTCCTGATCAAAGCCCATTTATAAATTTTAGTGATATCTATTATTAATGAACAACATGCCTCACTTTGTTATATATGTGCTTAAGCTAATAACCAAATGTCCACGGTGTCTACAATTGCGAAGACCAATTTAAAAAACAATCTTTCTTTAAGTAAAAAAGTAGTATCAGCTGGGCATGGCGGCCCAAGCCTGTAATCTCAGCATTCTGGGAGGCCGAAGTGGGCGGATCACCTGAGATCAGGAGTTGGAGACCAGCCTGGCCAACATGGTGAAACCCTGTCTCTATCAAAAATACAAAAAAAAAAAAAAATTAGCTTGGTGTGGTGGTGAGCACCTGTGGTCCCAGCTACTTGGGAGGCTGGGGCAAGAGAATTGTTTGAACCCAGGAGGCGGAGGTTGCAATGAGCCAAGATCATGCCACTGCACTCCAGCCTGGGTGACAGAGTGAGACTCTCAGGAAAAAAAAAAAAGTAAAATGATAAAGCCATATTTTAATGCCCCAATTATAAGTGGAATCAGAGTTCTAGAGTGGCAAGGACCCTAATTCCTGAGAACCCTGAAATTATACACAAAATTATGTGTGTACAGTATATATTTTTCTCTGAGAAGGTCTACAATTTTAGATACTCCTGGTAACCCAAAAAAGTTAAGAGAAGAACTCTGTCTTTTTTTTCCAAGATGGAGTTTCATTCTTGTTGCCCAGGCTGGAGTGCAGTGGCACAATCTCGGCTCACTGCAACCTCCACTTTCTGGGTTCAAGTGATTCTCCTGCCTCAACCTCCCGAGTAGCTGGGATTATAGGCATCTGCCACCACACCTGGCTAATCTTTGTTTTTGTTTTTTGTTTTTTTTTTTGAGACAGAGTCTCACTCTGTCACCAGGCCGGAATTCAGTGGTGCGATCTCGGCTCACTGCAATCTCTGCCTCCCAGGTTCAAAGGATTCTCCTGCCTCAGCCTCTCAGCCTCCCGAGTAGCTGGGATTACAGGCATGTGCCACCATGGCCAGCTAATTTTTGTATTTTTAGTAGAGACGGGGTTTCACCATGTTGGCCAGGATGGTCTCAACCTTTTGACCTCATGATCTGCCTGTGATCCCCCTTGGCCTCCCAATGTGCTGGGATTACAGGCATGAGCCACTGCGCCTGGCCCATCTTTGTATTTTTAGCAGAGACAGGGTTTCACCAAGTTGGTCAGGCTGATCTTGAACTCCTGACCTCAGGTGATCCGCCCACCTTGGCCTCCCAAAGTACTGGGATTATAGGCATGAGCCACCATGCACGGCCTTGAACTCTGTCATTTTACATACATGAAAGTGAGACCTAAGAGTGAAGTTGCGTTTCCAAGTTCTCACAACTCATTATTGCTGCTGGAATCTTAGGCCTCTTGTTCTACATTATTGTTTTCATTATAGATCCCTACATTTCTGAGCTCAGAAACCTGATGTGAAATATAATATTCATGAAATGTACAAGTATTTTAAGAATAGCTCATATGTATATAAAAACTTGATTTATGACAGAGATTACATTACAAATTAGTGGGTGAAGAATTGACTTTCAACAATTGGTTAAACATATGGAAAATAAAATAAAATTAGATCCCTACCCACATTATACATAAAAACAAATTCCATGTGAAAAGCAAAATTTTAAAAATGTTAAAATACAGGAGGGAATAGGAAAGAATTTCTTAAATAAAACCTGAAAAATCAAAAACTTTTTTTTTTTTTTTTTAGAGACGGGAGTTGCACTCTCATCACCCAGGATGGTGTGCAGTCGCACAATCTCGGCTCACTGCAACCTGCGCCTCCTGGGTTCAAGCGATTCTTCCGCCTCAGCCTCCCAAGTAGCTGGGATTACAGGCACCTTCCACCACGCCCAGCTAATTTTTGTATTTTTAGTAGAGACAGGGTTTCACCATGTTGGCCAGGCTGGTCTCGAACTCCTGACCTCAGGTGACCTGCCCGCCTTGGCCTCCCAAAGTGCTCAGATTATAGGCGTAAGCCACCATGCCTGGCCTCAAACTATTTTTTTAAGTGATAAAATAGACTGTATTAAAGTGAAAATGTCTGAACAGTAAAAGATGCCCAAAAGGAGAGAAAAGATAAGCCACAAGCTGAGGCAAAAATATCTGCAATGCAAATAGCCACCAAAGTCTATACAAGCATATGGAAATAACTCCTTCAAATCAATCAGGAAGATACACTCTGATTTTAAAAATGGGTAAGAGATAGGAACTATAAATTTACAGAAGAAAAAATACAAATGGTCAATGTTATATACAAAATTAATATATTAGATTTAATTTAATATATATCATGTTTAAACCAAATTATGAAGTCAGGCAATTTCAAGGTATTACAGAAGATGTCGGACAATAGAAACTCTAACTGCTGGTGAGTAGAAGAGTATAAATTGGTATAACTTCTTTGGAAATATTTAGTGAAGTTGAAGACCCAGCTCCTCTATGATTTAGCAATTCCATTCTAGGTATGGAACTTAGAGAACTGAATCATTGTAATAGTGAAAAATCAGCAACTTAAATGCCCATCAACAAGAGAAAAGATATAAAATGATTCAGGGTAAATATAACAAAATGTCAGGATTTGACAGAACTGGGTATGGATAAACAAGTGATAGTATGTTTTTTTGCTTTTTGGAGACGGAGTCTTGCTCTTTCACCAGACTGGAGTGCAGTGGCAATCTTGGCTCACTGCAACCTCCACCTCCTAAGTTCAAGCGATTCTTCTGCCTCAGCCTCCTGAGTAGCTGGGACCACAGGTGCGTGCCACCATGCCCGGCTAATTTTTGTATTTTTAGTAGAGACGGGGTTTCACCATGTTGGCCAGGATGGTCTCGATAGCTTGACCTCATGATCTGCTCACCTTGGCCTCCCA